TTTTTTTTTTTTTTTTTCCTTGGGTATTTGTTAATTTGAGAGCTTCTTCTCCTGTTTTCATGTATCCAAACACTTTCCCTGCAACTTTCTTATGTCTGAGCTCATCTCACTGCGTTTCCAGCAGAAAAACACAAGCGCTCGTTACTGTGCACATCACCCTACCCCCTACAAGGTTAACTGTCACAGGAAAAAAATGCAGGAGCAAGAGAAATGCAGAAAACAGATGAGCTATTCAGAAAGACAGTTTCTGAAAAATATACATTGAAATTATTTTTATTTTCGCTGGAATTTAAAAAACATAGGAATATTGACATTGCATTTAAAAACCCCAGGAAGTTAGAGATTATACATTGTTGCATCTCTGAAATCCAACAGTGCAAAGCTGGGAATCACAAAAATGTCTCCATCATGCCTTTTTTAGGAGATACCAATATATATATATGAACATTTTGAAACCAGACTTTTAAAGAAGTGTCGGACTGTCCAAACTTGAAAGTGCTCTTCATTAAATACACCAAAATCTGTCACTCTTCCGAGTTTGACAATTCAACAAACAAGTTGGATGAAACACATTACAACCCAGTTCTTAACAGAAGGAAACCTGAATTATTTCAAGGGAACCACAGAGCTTCAGTTTGAGATTTCTCTTTTAAATTTTGAGAGGTGTTATCGCGCGTGCTGCTTCTCTTTGTTCTCCTCAATGTATTAATAATGGCAAGTATTGGGTGGCCTTATCTTAAATATATCCTGTTAAGTTGGTATAATTGTTACTGTCCTTTCCTGTATTCCAAATAAGGTTTGCTGACATTAGAGTAACAGACAGTTGTAGGCAAACAGAAATAGTCATTTAAATTACCTGAAGCCTGAGAAAGAGAAGCTGGGAATTTTTACAGCCATGATACAGGTTGTATGATTTGTCTTCCCCGGGGTTAGAGCAGTATATACACAGCTGTTTTAAAACGACACAGTTCTTCTCAAGGTGTCGGGTAAGAAAAGCTTTTCTACAAAAGTCCTTTTCAAAGTCAGCATCTCAAACATCTTGCAGCTGCTAGAACGAGACGATTCAAATTGCTACCGCTCAGGCTCTGGATAAGCAGACAGCAAAGTTAAATGCTTAAGAGTAGTAAGTGTCCATCCTGAATACTAATGGTTATGGGGATGAGACCTCAAAAAGAAAAGGTCTTGCCTGTCCCAGTAGCTTATTGACTGCAGTGATAGTCAATATTTGTGGGATGCACTCATAAATATTGATTTTTACTTAAAGCCACGTCCTAACAGTAACAAATATGACAACCCTGGGGGAAAAAGTCACGTTAAATGTATATATAACAACATGATAAAAAAGTGACAGTCGTATTTTATTACAAAAGAGGTTTTCTCTTTTCTTTTTTCTGAGTTTCTTCTTAAACTGAACAGGCTTTCATTCTTATGTCAGAGAATGAGGAAAAAAAATAAATCAAATCCTAAAATTCTGATGCTTAGAAAAAAAAACAGGAAAACTATTTTCATTCTACAAAACATTTCACTTTACAAAAACCCCAAAGAGTTATTCTATTACCTGGATGATAAAGATAAAACGGGACATGGAAAAGATAAGAAGATCTTAAAACCAGACCTGAAGTATTTCTGGATGAAATTCTCTACTCTGATCATTGCAAGACTCTCTGACCATAGAGGGACATCGGTACAGGGAAGGAAGGTGTGTGGAACCAGCCAGAGAGATGCTAAGGATCAGCAGAAAATCCTGCCTTTATTTGGGTGTTTTATCATTTCTCCAATATAAACTGATATGGCATGAACCATCCCCACAATATGAAAGCAGGTACATTCTAACCATTCCCAACACAAATCCCAACGTTGTTCAATTTACTTAACAGTATAGTCTGTCAGGAAAATTAAAATCTGTTTTATTTTATATTTTTTATGATGAAAAGTATATAAACTGCACTTTTAAATTAAATCATGCTCTGCCAAAACTGGTCTGCTTTAAGACTGATAACTGTAGTGGAGAGAAATAAGATGTTTCAGCAAGTATCAATTGTCTGTTAAAAAATGTCCGCAAGACAAAATAAAAAAATTCTTAATTTACAATAAGCAGTGTAAACAGCAAAAACAACAGAAGCCACAAAGTTTCACGCACCAGCCACTGGCAGACAGATAACTCCAAATACTCATAGAACTTTGTATCTTCCTTTGTTGGTTGGTTGGTATGAATTTTGCTGCAAATAAAAGGAAAGAATAATCACAGTTAAAAAGCGAAAATGGTAAATGAATTGCAATAAACCCCCACTGATAATAAATCCACGTTACATGTGAATAAGCAGTTTCTTAGCCATCTCCTTCCTCTGGAAAATGTTTTTATGGGGAGGTCAACAAGTTTGAAAAAGAAAGGTAACTCTCAGTAACGGTTCAGCAGAGCAGGACCACTGGAACCAACTGCTGATTTGAAAGGCTACTTAAGAGAACAAGCCAAATGAAGACACTGCCAAGTCTAATGGAGCATCACTGAAAGTTATTCTAGAGAAAAGCGAGGTTTCTTCAACCCAAGAACTCAAAAGAGGATTTCTCAAGTTAGTATCATATTTGAGAAGAGAGCGTGTTGAACACAGCTGGGTGTGCTGTAAGTCTGTGGCAAAACAAATCTCTCAACACATATATAAAATATTAAAGTGAGAGGAATAATTCTCCTCCGCCCTGCCTGATGGTGCTGAAATTAGGAAATTTAGTTGGGCCTAACTCTTTCAAGGGGTCTCCAGTCAAAAAGCTCTGTTAGGGTGTTATCTCCATCTGCTGGCTGGACAACAGCCGCGGGTCTGCCTGACTGAGCAGTGGTAGATGTTTCAGCCTGTTCAAAACAGAGATCTATACATAGGCTCCAGTCCCTAATATTAATAAAAATGTATGGTGGTGTCAACATCTGTAGAAATCAGTCTCATAAAGCGTAAGTGAAGGCACTTTCCCTCTGCACATTGCACTCACCAATCTGATGAGCTCCTCTTTTATAAGTCGTGTGATTTCTGCCTTTGCTTTCTGTACAGCCAGCTCGTTGGCACCTGGAGACAAAAAAACCCAACATTACCATCTTCAACGCGTTCTGTGTGTCAAGCTGACAGGATAAACCCTGACAGCTATTTCCAGAAACACTGCAAGACTTGCTGAGTTGCCTTACTATTTGCTGAAAAAACCTGGTTTTGTACAGACTGCCACAGTGGGCCCGTGTTCAGTTTTAAGGAAGATACTTAGACAGTGATAAATTATACCGTTCAGAAATACCTGAGATTAGAGGTTTCTTTGAGAAAAAACTACTCAACCATCATGAGATTTGCAAATTTTTGTTGTAGTGGTTCATGTAATTTCTTATACCTTCAATAGCTAAAACCCACACAATTCCATTTTCTTCCTTATTTGACACTAGCACAGAAATCTTTGTGCTTATTCTGATAATTGTTTTTCTTTTCCCTTTTTCCCCCTCCTCTAAACTGATTCCATACACATTTGTTGTTGTTTTGTGGCAGGTCAATCTTCGCAGGAGAAGCATCTCCGATTCCTACAGATCACTTGACAAAGCATATTAAGGTAAATAACCATTTCTTTAGTAATTATATTAATTTGCACAGTGACTACAGCGGGTCTGTAACTGAGCATCCAGACACTATGACTGTAGAGATTCCATGACTAACTAGAAAACCAGAGTCGTATCTTTCCTCAAAGCATTTATAAAAAGAATACATACTTTCTATAGCCAAATAAATCTTGCGTTCTCCTTCCTTGGGTTCTTTGCCTGGAGGGAAGTAAGTTCCTCTGATTGTAATTGCAGCTTCAGAATATTCACTGATTCTCTGCAGCGCTTCTTTGGAGGTAACTTTCCACCTGGCAGTCTGGAAGGGAAGGGATGGGGGGGATCAATGAGGAGAAAGGCATCACACAAAACTGCAATCCAAAGGTTAGTTGATGTTTTAGCCAAACAAGAAAAACTTTGCACCATGAAAATCACTCACAGCATTCTGCTTTAAAAACGCAGATTGAAAGTTTAGCCAGCTATTTTTATGCAAGTGTATTTAAAAATTCTCCTCTTGTGTCAGCAAGACAAAGTTATGGACAAAGGAGAAAAGAGAATGGATGCACAGTACTATTGACAGATAATGCAGTAATTTCAATGAGGTATGATAAGAAATAGAGACAAAATATTTTATTGGTATAATTGTACTCTAAGCTATGAAGATTGAAGCCTTTGTTAAATAATGGCCATTTACACTGGATTATAGCAAAATGGTGACTTGCCTGTGGGAAGTCATTGATCTCCAATTCTTCTTCGTATCTCTTAAAGGATTCATTTTGTCCTCCATCCTGTTTCTCTTCCTCCTGCTTCTCTATGGGTACATAATTGAGCTTAGCATTGATTTTTTCAGCCAGTTGCTCTGCAATGGTCTTGGCAGATACAGTAGGAGCTTGGATGGTGCCTCCTCTCAGGATAGCATTTGTCGCCTGCTGCATCACATCCTGTAAAAAAAAAAAAAGGGCCATGCTGAGAACAAGCCAAAAGAAGACCTAAAGGACCAGCAAGGGTTTTGTTAAAGCTTTCTATGTAATATGCCTGCTGCATCACATCCTGTATAAAAAAAAAGGGCTGTGCTGAGAAGAAGCCAAAAGAAGACCTAAAGGACCAACAAGGGTTTTGTTAAAGCTTTCTATGTAATATAATTGTCCACTTAACAAATACATTCTCCAAACTTCCCTTTCTCCTCTTTCCTTCAGTAACTCCCCTCACACCTGCACAGAAAAGATCTTACTGGTCCTTTGTATTCAGCTCAAAAAGCCTTTGGACATTCCAGACCACATTAACCTCAGTCTAAATGGATTGTGTATCACGTGCTTCAGCAGAGAAACACGTCCTGCAACTCTGCTGAAGCTGACAGAACCTAATTGTGTAATTTTATCCAGAATTCATTAACTCTTTGCCAGGGCAGACAAAGCATTTCCAGTCCTGTATTAAATCTTATTATCACATTAGCTCAATTACAAATCCTACAACTTATAACCAAGTCAGCCCAGCCCAAATGAGCTAAATAATGCAGCGTGATGTTATTAGTGTGCAGAAACATTAAATAAAATGGCAGCTACAGAACAAAGAATTGAACAACCTTTTTAAAAAAAAAGAAAAAAAAACGCTCTATAAAGAGCCTGACCTTAAAGTGGAATGGGACCAATACTTGTGCCTCTGCTCCAAGATTCTTCTGGGCATTGATTCTCAAAGCCAATCTTTTTGCAATTTCCAATTTTTCTGCGTTCCCAGCTGACGGCGTCGGAGCGTTTGATGTTCCTGGTGCTGCCATGTCTTTTACTCTCTTCTTTGAATTGAACATGCTTTCAATTTGTTCATCGATCTAAAGAAAATAACAATTATTAGATCACCGCATTTACCATTAGATAATCTCTTCATCCTAAAGAAAGAAAACACTGAGGTGCACTTTTAGTTGACACGCTTTTGAAAGCAATCAGTCTTGTGTAGATGGCAGAGGCCTGCCCAGAACTACAACTCCAGAAAAGGAACAGATGAGCTAATAATCAGAACATAGTGTTTATGTTCAAGGTCACGAAAAGGAGTCTAACAAACAGTGAAAAAGGAATCCAGTAAGAATTTACAAATAGAAAGGGCAACTATGAATTTCTTTAAATTACTGCAAGTAAAAAAATGTTTGTAATTGAGGGTGATAGTTCTATTTACATAATATTAATATGACAAAGAAAACTATTTCTCTGACATTTACATAACTACATGTATTAAGTATAAAATACCAGTAAGTGAGGATGAAACTTTCAAGATCTTCATAGATCTTGACCTTCGTAGCTCTATATCTGTTATATCATAGAATACTCATGGAATTTAACTAATTAAGTCAGTAGTGTAGGACATGGACTAACAAAAATCCATGCGTTCTGCAACGTGTATGTAACCTACTGGGGAAAACCCAAATACACTGGAAACCCTCAAGAAACTTAAATCTTATTTTCAGGTGCTTACGTCAACAGCTGTATCTTCGTCATCTGAATCTTGCAAGCCAAGAGCTGCTTTTTGTAGCTTCTTTCGTTCATTAGCCAAAGCCTGTTCTGTTTCATCAAATTTAAAACCTTTGCCAGAGAATCCACTGCTTTTTTTAATCAGCTTTCCCTCCTGAAAAAAAAACCAACCCAAAACACATAGAAGTTTAAAACCCCAATTTGGATAGTCATAACTATAAAATTATACAAATAATTTTGAAGTTATTTATTTGAAAAAAACCCAAACAACCCAAATCCTAGCACATTTAGAAAGGTCTTCAGATTTTAAAACTGCATTTTACACTGAAATGTAGTAAAAAAGCTACGTTAATTCAGCAGATAGAAACAATATCCAGTAGGCATTTCTCTGTCACGTACCAGATGACAACATCTGAATTCTCAAGAACATTCCTGTACATGACATTTAAGATCCCAACCTTGAAAACACTCACACACATACCTGAGCACACGTGTGTTCTTTAGGGAGTGGGTGAGATGACTCACGTATGTAAACTGTGCAGCTGGACCCCCGTGCACACGCATAAAACCCAGACCAAAGCCCTCCAGAGAAGAAAGAATTACTCACTGCCTTCTGCTGGTCTTTGAAGTCAGCCCAGAGCTTCTCCAAATCAGGAGGAATTGGATTCCCAGACAATTCCAAAGCCTTAATGATATCACCAGCGTACCGTGCCTGGTCCTCAGTAATGAACGTATACGCATACCCCTGATCAAAATGAATTTAAAAGATAATAAAGAAAGATCTCTAAAGGCACTTTATCTCTAAATTTATTGAAGCAACCTTGCGCAGATGCTGCTGTTCTGATTAATAAGAATAACCATGATATTAATGCATAAACTTTTTAAAGTGGAGTGTAGAATGAAAGATGTGATTTCCCGGGAGCTGATACAGAGGTAATCAACCACAGATGGTAGAAACCGAAGTTTTTCTTTTCAATCTTGTCATGGTTAAAAGTTTGGAAAATAAAATCTTATAAATTTGGTAGGACACACTTCCAACAGTGAAAACCCCCCAAACTTTCAGCCACAAATGGGACTTAAAAGAACATTCATACATCAGAAGAACATGTAAGTTCCAACTTTCCCAGTGCTAAAATTCAGAATATATTTTATGCATGACCACTCAAAAACCTTAAATGCACTTTAAAGGAAAACCCTCTTCCCACCAATAACAAACTACTCCCTCCGTAGCTATCCCTTGGGAACACCTTGATCAAGCAATAAATAAAGAAAAATGTTCAGTAATAACCAAAACAGGCAATTAATTATACATACTTTATTGCCAGCTCGTCCAGTTCGTCCTGCTCGGTGCACGTAATCTTCATAATGGTTGGGGCAGCTGTAATTGACCACCAGCATCAACTGTTTTACATCCAAGCCCCTCGCTGCTACAGATGTGGCCACCAGGAGTTTGCAGATTCCATTCTTGAAATCATTAATTATGCTGTCCCTGTCGTACTGATCGATACCTGCGAGAAAGCAAACAAAACAGTTAGTTATAAAGCTCTCCTTTGAGCCGAAAGAATTTGTACAGAGGTCAAAACATCCTCCAACTTCAAAAAACCAAAGGCCTAAGCAAATAAAATTTCAATACATTCACACTTTTACAGGCAAAATACATTAGCCAGAATAATAAATCTCGTAGTCTATTATCCAGAGTAACAAAACTTTTCATTTTTTTCCACTACAAAAAGATGTTTTCCTGTACCAAGATGCTCAAAAGTTTCTCTAATTCGATTTTCTATTTGACTTCTTATATTCAACTGAGACCTCATCTGGAGGCTTTGGCTGTTCTGTAAAGGCAAGAGAATCCTCAGAAGGAGGAGACTATTTTTCCCTATTCCATAGCTGCACCAAATGAACGGTGGTTTTTTACTTATTGGTTACTCTAATTTAAGAGTATTATATACAGAAAGTCTTAAAATACTCCGAGATGGACAATGATCTGAAGAGATTTCCTCTTCTTGCTACTAAACTATTTCCATTATATTACTACTTGATGGCAGAAAAGTGAAGCAACAGCTGCTGTTATTGTGGGATCTCAAATAAAAATATCATCTAATACTCCCCCAATGGCATTCACTACAGCAGCAAGCAGTGAGCAATACTCCCCGAGAGGTGGTAACTCTCCCTCACAATCTTGTTGCACAGAGACAAGATCTGGCATCTGATGACATCTCACAGGGAATAATAAAGAGTAATTATGGGAAAGTATCATGTCTAGTTCAAATTAAGAGGCAAATATCTTTCCCAATTACAAAGCAAAACTTGCTTAGGAAGAAATAAGAACTGGTACTACACAGGAGCTAAGTAACTTCCCTTTAGAACTGCTAAACACCAATATCCTAGTCTGGAGTTGTTAACATAAATCCTTAAGATTGCAGATTACCTCCATGAAGAGACAAGCAAGGGTAAGAGGCTCTCATTAAATCTTTCAACAACCCATCAGCGTGTTCTTGTTTATCTACAAATATGATAACTGATCCCTTCTCCTGATAGTGTCCCAGTAGCTCCAGTAACTTCAAAAACTTGTTCTCCTCTTCTATGACAATCTGGAAGAAGAGATAAAAAAGTAAAGTAGAAAAGAGGATGAATTTTATCTGAAGTCATTAAACACATTCAGGGTGCATAAAAATAAAAATTAGGGAAGAATCTTTTGCCAGCAAAGGAGGAGATAAGCGAGGTGTGCGATGCCGTGCGATACTCACAACGTGTTGCTCCACATCGGAACAGACAACGCTTCTGCCTCCCACCTGCACCTCTATAGGTTTACTGAGGATTCTCCGAGCTAGTGCCTCCATAGCTCTGGGGAAAGTAGCAGAGAACATGACAGTCTGACGATCAGGCCTGACGTTGTCTACAATGCGCATAACCTGGTTTAAGAGAACATTCCCCGTTAATACCCAAGTGCTTGAATTGAACTTCACACACATACAGAGCTGTTGTCTTTAAGGTGCTGGCACTTGATGACAGGCAAAACTCACTGGATTCAAACAGAAGCCCAGTGGCAATAACCAACCCGACAGCAGAAATCTTAAAAGACACGCAGCACAAATCCTACAGCTCAACAGAGAAAATAAAGGAATTTCCTTAGTTTTGGAGGATAATATAGCCTGATGACACCTGAAGAGTCACATGGATGTCCAAACCTACCAGAAATTAGTCACGACATGCAAATCCTACAGCTCAATAGAGAAAATAAAGGAATTTCCCTCGTTTTGGAGGACAATATAACCTGATGACACCTGGAAAAGCCACGTGGATGTCCAAACCTACCAGAAATTAGTCACCAACATTTCCAACATTTTATTCTTGTCTCCTGCACGACGTTGCCAAGAGACATCAAAGACATCAATATACAATTAGTAATATGACACCTGCATCAAGGGACTATACAGGGTTATAACATGGCCACAGGTATCCAAAACAGGTGTGTAAAAAGAAAATCATAGAATCATAGAGTGGTGAGAGTTGGCAGGGACCTCAAAGCCCATCCAGTTCCAACCCCCTGCCCTGGGCAGGGACACCTCCCACCAGACCAGGTTGCTCCAAGCCCCCTCCAACCTGCCCTTGAACCCCTCCAGGGATGGGGCAGCCACAGCTTCTCTGGGCAACCTGGGCCAGGCTCTCACCACCCTCACACCAAACAAGTTCTTCCTAATCTCTCATCTAAATCTCCCCTCTTTCAATTTAAAACCATTCCCCCTCATCCTATCACTACACTCCCTGACAAAGAGTCCCTCCCCATCTCTCCTGTAGCCCCTTCAGGCACTGGAAGGCTGTTATAAGGTCTCCCTGGAGTCTTCTCTTCTCCAGGCTGAACGCCCCCAGCTCTCTCAGCCTGTCCTCACAGCAGAGGGGCTCCAGCCCTCTGATCATTTTCGTGGCCCTCCTCTGGACCTGTTCCAACAAGTCCATTTCCTCTTCCTGTGTTGAGGACTCCAAAGCTGGACACAGTACTCCAGGTGGGGTCTCAATATAGTATATTAGATAACATTATATTTATAAAATCTGAGCTATATAAAAGTTTCTTGAAAACAAGGCCTGTGAGGATAATAGAAAAATTCAAGAGTCAGTTTAGACTGTTGTCCATACACAGCATGTCTTTCTGAACACTCGTGGGCAGTGTAATGACATGGTAGCACTGCAAAATCCTTTAAGTGGAAAGTGGAAGGGAATTTGACTCGTGTCCCTCATTACCTGAGGCTCAAAGCCCATGTCGAACATCCTGTCTGCTTCGTCCAGGACAACGTACGTGACTCTGCGCAGATTTGTCACCCGGCCTGGGAAAGGAGAGGAAAAAAAACACATGGGAAACAAAATCAAATGGAAATCTGGTTTTCCCTCAGGAATAAATTTTTAAAAAATGTTATATAGTCTCGCTATCTTCTAACAAAGACATTAATTAATTTTTTTTAAAAAATTCACTAAACGTGAATTTTAACGTTCTCATTTTAATCACGTATACATTCTGGGAAAGGTGTAAGTATACACAAGGCCCTTTATTTTGTCAAACTCTTCTCTTGCATACCATCATAGGGCCAGAAGAACCTGTAAAATTCAGAAAACTGCCCTCGCCAAAACACATCATAAAACTAAGACTGAGATGAAGCAAGGAGCCACATCAGCCATTATCTGACAGCGCCACCTAGAAAAAAACATATTAGAGATTACAGCGCATGTGTGGAAGGCAAAGTCCAGTGCTAACTGTTGCAGCCTCAGAAAAATTCCTTTTACACATATAATCTGCTTCCTTGGAGTTAGAAATAACTATTTGAGGACAATTATACTAATTCTAGTTAACTGTTAATAATACGCATAAACAGAGTAAGGTCTTTTCAAGGGAATACATAAAGATGAAAACCTACCCAGTAACACGACTAAATTTAAAATTAAGAACCACCCCAAACTCTGGGACAGCTGGAAACAAAATAAGCACGTTGTATATCTGTGAACATTTTGAAATTACGATGGATGGGATAGTTAGCACCCTTCCCAAACAAATAGCTAAGAGATTCCCTTTCAGGAGACGGAGTTAACTCAAGGATTTAAGAATCATATTCTCAAATGATATAAACACGTGAACACGTTCAGTTCCAAACAACTGTGTTGCGACACTGTCAAGTGCTCTCAGAATGGAACAGATTTTTCTCATTTTCTACAACTATCACTCAAACTCGGGCCCATCAAACTACAGTAGAATTCGGTCCTTTCAGCTTCAGCAAATTGGAGCTGAATCCTCAAATTTTTAGAGATTTAGCGCTGCATTTTTTTTACAATACAGAATTCATACTTAAGGAACAAAATAAATAGTTCTTAAAACCTACGTATCTATTTAACATCTTAACACTTTCATCCCCAAATAATAACTTTGTAAAATTACTTGGGAACAGCATTAATGTACCTACCTTTGACGATTTAAGTCTTGGAAGCCCAGTTCTATATGTCTTGAAGGTACTTTTTCCACAGAAGTTAAATAATGTCAACAGTTTAGTAGAGGTTTTGATGTGGAATAATTTAATAATAAAACTTTATCTAATAAGCATGCAATGGTTACAACTAGGACAAAACCTCTTAAAGCTGCAGTGGCTCAGTTTAATCAAGCTGAATATTTGATGTAAGGTCAGTTCTTTTACTTTTTGAACAGTTATTTAGGGAGGGTTTCTTTGTCTGTTGTGTTTTTTAAAACCAACAGATAAAGGCAGAGTCAGACACTCTTAAGTAACAGCGGGGAACTGCTGAGCTACACTAACAATAAGGAACCATCAATGGGCAGACAAAATAAGCAACTTTTATATCACCTTTATCTAAATGACTTGAAATGAAATAATTTGGATCAGCACATTTTAAATTTTACAATGATAAACAGTCTCAAAAACTCTTCAAGAATGTATTATTTCCTGTCCTCCCCGAAAAAAGTCAAACCAATACGTGATTAAACCTATTATTAGTGCTATATATTCTCAATAGCGAGATAGTGCAGCCTGAAGAGATATAAGAAAATTCCATAAGACCATTTATCAAAATACATGATCTTTTGAATTTGTTAGAATTACACAACAAATATAAAAAAATCTCCATAAGAAAAGGTTTTCTACTCACCATTGTTAGCTGCTAACATGTCAATCATACGCCCAGGTGTGCAAACAATAATTTCAGCACCTCTTTTGAGTTCAGCTATCTGATTTTTAAAAATAGCAAACAAACAATTAGAATGTTTGTCTTTTTTATTTTTGCTTTATGGTTTGTGTGTTGTTTTTTTAAAAGAAACAGACCAACATGTATCACCTTGCAAAAAAGAAAACAAGATACAGTGTAATACAGCTGTTCTACTACCGTGAATTGTTTATGTAAAGATTTTACTTAGCAATTTCTTTAAGAAAAGAAAGATTTTATTTGCTTTCCAAAAGGGTAACTTCTGACAAAGTTACTACCACTTGAAGCAGTTATAATGGGGATGTGACTTCTTTACAGTTAAGGTCCTATAAGAAATATCACATGTTGTATAAGGAACAATTGATACTAAATAAACCATGCTCCATCACAGATAATCACAGAAATTCAAAGCTCTGTTGTTTCTGCACACCAGGGGACTGGAGAGGGCAGACTTTAAATTAATCTCTCAATGACTCTTAACATGCAATATGTGATAATGCAATAAACTAAAGTTAACATCTTCTGAGTTTTGTTATCTTGAGGGGATCTCAGTTACTGAGCTTATAGTAACTATCAAACTATCACATTCCGCTAATAGTTTAATTTCTGCCATGCTCTGTACATACATACATAAAAAGAAACAGTCTGAAACTTTTAAGGGCCAGACTTGAGAATTTTCAAGAAGATCAGTGTGTTTAAGGCTAAATTATGTGCAAACAAGCTTTTGCATCACTACCATTCATACAGAGAAAATCCATAATGAAGGCTTTATGGGAGAGAGAAAGGATCTGAATTCACTGCCAAAGTGCCATGAACTAATAAAGTTCAAGAGTTATTTGCTAAGTAAGTACCTGTTCACTGATGCCTGTTCCTCCATAGACACAGACAACTCGAAGCCCAAGTGTCTTTGAGAATTTCTTACACTCCTTAGTAATCTGCAAAGCCAACTCGCGGGTAGGGGTCATAATGACAGCTGAAAAGCAAAGCATTTGCATCACACATTGTAATAGAAGAGATCTTGTTATTTATACAATAATATAAGAATTTTGTAATGATTTACAGCAAACATTTGTAATGTTTACAGCATTTACTTAAACGTATTAACTAAGAGAAGAACTAAAGCCCCTTGTAAAGCAGATGCTTGAGGTTTTATTTATTTAAATAGTGATTTTGCAAACAAAAGCTTTGTACCTATGGGACCTTCTCCTTCTTCTAAGGCTCTCTGATCCATGATGTGTCTGAACATGGGCAACAGAAATGCAATAGTTTTTCCACTTCCTGTTTTAGCGATGCCGATCAAGTCACGGCCATTCATAATCGCTGGGATGGCCTGGGTCTGAATGGGAGTGGGCTTTTCATAGCCATGTCTTAAAGAGAGGGGAAAAAAAAGAGATTTCAAGAACAAAATAGGACTTGATAGATCCAGTACAAAAATTTGCATATTCATATTTACATATCAGTGCCATTCAAAAACTACAGCATAAAAATGAGCAGCAAAACCATGATACAGATGGCAGAAGGAATAGTTCATAACTATATTTCAATACCAAGTGATAAACACTGTGATTACTTTGTGTGTGACACCTACAAACATGGGCACATTGCATTATGCAACAAAGAATAAGGTTTTTCTCATAAACATATGACAGAACACAGTGGAAAAAAAATCAAGCCTGAAAGAGTTCATCAAGTTCTTGCTTACTTTTTGAGGGCAGTGAGAATCTTCATGGAAATACCACACTGTACCCAGGTTTTTATTGGTTTGGGGCAGCCTTTTCCCTTGACTGTAATTCCCTCCAACTCCAGCCTGTACACATTCACCTCTGAAACAGAGTTTGCATTACAACAGAGTCAAACTTAACATTTCTCTTCTACCTTGATAAAAATATTCTTGGTTTGTCCCCAAATAAGAGATACTAATTTTATCACCACTAGAAAAACAGCTTTTAGCTTGTTACACATAAATACAAGAGGTAGATAGAAAGGACCCAGGTAAATTTTTCAATCAAAGCCTCCTATATAATTATATGAAGTTATCAATAATAGTGATCTAACTGATTAAGTGTTTTTCTATGCCAAATTGCTCCAAATGCTCTTTATATTCCAAAAGAATTTGCTGTTTCTTTGCACATCAAAATCCATCACTCTTTAACAATACCCCAGGTTTTCCGGTTGTGTTTGTTCTGTTCTTACCTTCTTGAGTCATTTTAGCTAATTCTGGTACTTCAACATAGAAGTTTTTCCTGAAAGGTTCATATTCTATCTTTCCATGATCCACTGGTTCCAGCAGCTTTCTCTGCTTGGTCTGATAGCCAGTCAGGGCAGTCTGGAGATCAACCTCCTCCTCTTCTGAGGAATACTGTAGAGATTATAATTTGTGTGTAAATTAGTGTGACCAGTATTCTGAGAGGCTCTGGTTTTTCATTTATAGCAGAATTTTACTCAGAAGTTACTCACTCCTTACCCTTTCAGACCAGATACTGAAAACATGCTCTCAGTTTAAGAGTCCCAATTATTCTTTGATCTATTTCATTCACGTTTCTCCCTTAATTTTCACCATGCTCTATATCACCTTCCTGACTTTATGATTTAACTAGACCAGCCTTGCCAGCATTCAGAAATAATCACTGCCATACAACTGAAATAGCAAGAGGAAAATGCTAAGAAAAACCACCCAGTACATTTTACTGACAGCATCCCACTGCTCTGCATCCCACTGCAGTCACAGTTATCTGCTTGTACCACCTCTTCCTAATAAAACACATTTGTTATTTACAGTTTTAGGGTGCTGCCTACTGCAATCATGACCTGCCACAGCACTTAGCAGCCATAGGCAGAATCAATTTCCTTTCTACTATTTCCTAAACTGTAAAATGAGAACATCTACCTCTCATTTGTGCTAGAAGAGATGTCTCATTATGATTTATGAAGTGTTTTGAGATACCTAACTTACAGGTGTTTTGGAAATTAATATATTTATACTTACAAAGGCATTCAGCAGAAATGGAACACACAGACTCCATGTTTTTAGATTAAATACAGGGAACTGAACATGCAGACTGAGCAACCTGCACACATAAACTCTCCATACTAGCTTGTGGGTCACTCACACAGGGTGTCACCAGGACTGGCCTGATTTCAGTACAGTGAACAGAACACACACTACACGTGACACACACCAGCACAGTCACATTCATCACAACGACAAACACAGACATCCTGGTGCATTCATTCAACAATAAAGCTGCAAAAGCAATTTCCAAAAAAAAAAAAAACTCCACACAACTGTGCCAGACATCCTGGTGCATTCAAACTGTAGAAGTAACAAAAAACTGTAAGATCAAAAAAAGATCAAAAAGACCATGCTTCTGCAAATTAAACAACTAAATAGAAGTAAAAAAAAACTTTGTAAGATCAAAAAATCTCGTGACCATGCTTCTGCAAATTAAACAACTAAATGTTTATCTCTTCGGAGATGGAAAAATGCCAGGACTATCCTCATTCTCCTATGAATTTCTACCTCTTCACAGTAGAAATACAAGCCACTTCCATTACCTCCATCGCATCTTGGTCATTCTCCATGAGCTCCCCTTTCTTCTTCTCTGACTCTGCAGCTGCCTTTTTGGTTGTCACCACGGTTACTACTTTGGTTACAGTTGGTCCAGATTTCTACAAGAACAATGAGGAAGAATTATTCTGCTATCATATAAAACACAAAACATGTTGTATCAAATATACATACATACATACAAGAATATTTGTACTTCTGAATGCATTATGCTGGGCTTTTTTCCCCACTTTCTTCAGTGAAATTGTATCAGAATAATGCTCAAAAAAACAGCTGGACAAAACCACCAGGAAATAAAAGTTAAGGCAAATAGACATTCAGTGCATCCAACTTACTTCTTGCTTTTTTGCACTTTCCCTCCTTTTTTTTCAAAGCCATTTTGATATTAAAATCCAAAGCTATATTTAAAGACAAAGATAATAAATCTTAGTAAGTGATTTTACCTTTTCACTCCCACCTCCACCTTTCACGCTTCTCATATTGAATTTCTTGACCTCTTCTTTTACTTCTTCCATATAAGCATCCAAAGGATCTAACTCTTCATCTTCAACCTCATTGCCTTCTTTTTCTCCTTCTGCAGTTTCCTCTTCATCATCTAAATCAAGCAAGAAAGATGGGAATGAAACAGACAGGAAAAGAGAAAAGTCCTCATGTGTGTTGAATTATTAGCCTACCCAAATAATTACAGTCTGATTTTACTACTGTATCATTTTTCCTTCTACAAATCTCTCCAGTTTATTAACTTCAATTGTACCTCATTTGAAGCCATGACCAGATTTAAAGCTTTGTTATTCTATAGTTCACATCCTGAATAGTAATCAAATGCTTTAAAGATAATGTAATAAAAATATTGTTAGGAAGAGAAGTATTTTAACTGTTATATATAAGAAGTTAAATACCATCATCATCTTCTAAACTCCATTTTTTCCCCTGTTTCATCTCTTCAATCTCTTTTTTCAGTTCTCCAATGTTTTCCATGGCCTTCTTGCGTTGTTCTTCCCTCCATTTCTCCACTCTTTCTTTTCGTTTTCTCATTTCTTCTTCTAGTTTGTTCTGATCAAAATTCTATGACAAAAACCAACCAAATAGGGAAAATTAATGGCCATTGGCTTTAGTCTATCCTTCTTCAAACTGTCGTGTGAGCACACTGTAAAAGACTGGACATCCACAAACTTAGAAGTAAATGAAAAATACTAACATCAACTCTAACAGCTGTTGTAACAACTGGGGGTCAGTAACAACGTGCTGGTTTAGACAAGTTCACTCAAACTGCTAGTTTGGGAATTCTCCCTCTAGACACATCTTTTCAAATCTCAGAACAAGGCAAAGTGATTTTCCCTCTCCCTTTGTTCTTTTGATTCCTGCCTGAGTCCAGAGGCCAAAAAATATAACTGTCGTGTGAGCACACCGTAAAAGACTGGACATCCACAAACTTAGAAGTAAATGAAAAATACTAACATCAACTCTAACAGCTGTTGTAACAACTGGGGGTCAGTAACAACGTGCTGGTTTAGACAAGTTCACTCAAACTGCTAGTTTGGGAATTCTCCCTCTAGACACATCTTTTCAAATCTCAGAACAAGGCAAAGTGATTTTCCCTCTCCCTTTGTTCTTTTGATTCCTGCCTGAGTCCAGAGGCCAAAAAAAAAACCAACTTCAGCTCCTTGACTGACACCTGATATGTGAAAAATGAGAGATCCCTCACGCTTGTCTGTGGTTTGTGGCCTAAGCAGTTCGTAATCTTGACCTGAGAAGAAGGTTTCTTATGCCAAGAACTGGGAGCACATCCCCTGACAGGACTCTGTGCTACCAAAGAGAACACGCTCTCATTCAGTGGAGATTTTTTCCCTGCTCTAAGGACAGGTTTTCTTTTGTTAATGCAGTAATCTATGGCTAACTTAAATTCTATCTTTTAAATCTATAAGTGTTAAAAGTTTCTACCTCAGTGGCTACAGTATTTGTGGTAGCATCTTTATCCTTCTCCTCTTCTTTGTCATCTTTGTCTTTTTTCTTTTCTTTGGAAACTTCCACGCCTTCTGTCTTTTCTTTAGATCTTGACCTGGAAGGTAAGATCAAAGATTTCTTAGAACATTATAGCTTTTCTCAGGGGAGGATAAACAAGTGCTGGATAGAACTAGAACTATCAACACCTGTACAGACACATTAAGCAATGGGAAAAGATCATAGAATATCCTCCTTGTTCTACAAACCAAAGCTCTACCTAATGATTCCCTTGATGCTGATGATAGTTTTGCAGTAGTTTGTCACTATGCCATTGATTGTAATTAGAGAACACAAATACCTGTTTTCTGTTTTCCTGTTCTTGCTCGGGCTGGAGGATCGAGACCGTCTGCCCCGACTTCTGCTTCTGGAGCGCCTCCTCTCTCGGCTCCGGGATCTTCTTCTCTCCCGGCTCCGTTCCCTTTCTCTGCTTCTTGAACGCCTGCCACAGAACAAAATTGTATTTATTTAGCAGGTGATCACAGTATTGTTTTAGCCTGCTACTCAGGAACAAGTTGTAAAAGGAATCCAACAATCATCGCAGAATCACAGAATCGTAGTGGTTGGAAGGGACCTCAGAGATCATCGAGTCCAACCACAAAAAAAAAAAAAAAAAAAAAAAACAAACA